ATATGCACTTTCTCTTTCCTTTCCTCCAACTTTCCCTGTCCAGGATCAGCTCCACATCCCTCTCATACTCACTCCTCTCCACTGCTTTTTTCCTCCAACCCTCTCCTTCATTTTATGTTTCTTCCATCAAATCCTACATTCTGCCTCTCCTCCAAAGCTTCTCATACATTTCCTTCCTTTCACAGAAGTAATTTCTTATCAACTGCATTTTAGTCTCCAACTAAGTAAGGATATAAAGTTACAAATATAAGTAGCATATTTTTATTTCTTTCTTAGAAACTGGAAGCCATCAAAATTAACCTGATACTACTTCTCAACACCTTCTGCTCTAAAACCTCAGCCTCGAGGTGACAAGTGTAAAGCTAAACTAAATCAGTTTCCTTGTCCATCTACAGTTGTTTCTAATAGACTTGCTTTCTGATTTTTAATTCATTAAATCACAAAATAAATAGGAACTTCTAAGAGCAAATACATTCAAATGAAAAAATATCCTAGTCTATGCACATTTTTGGTACCAATTGAACAATACTGGCTTAGAAACTAATATATTTTAAATGATGCAACTTGCCTATGCAAAGATATTACACCAATATCAAAGTGCTTATTTCCTCAATTTTGGATACAACTCCCTGAATAAAATACAGATGTCTGCAGTCTGGGTTACATGTAAACAGCACCTATACAAACAGGTGTTAAAGAGTCTCCAATTTGCTGAAAAGAAATAATATTGACAGCAATAACAAAGTCTAATAAAGACTATTTCTTTAGGTTTATGCTTTAGGTTTATAAATGTCCTTTTTTTTTGGTGAGGCATCCTGTCATCATTCCATGAAAATGTCGTATTTGGGTGCATGTAAATCACTACAGAATTTTTTTCTCTTTTTCATCCAAAAATTGCCTTGGCCTACCTCAGTGCCACAGTCAGTTGCACTCACACTAACAATGAGAGTTGTACTAATCCTCAGGCAGAGACCATGGCCAGAGCACAGTTCTTGTTGCATTTCAGAACTATTTACTGCCAGGTTCACAAAATCAAGGTTATGATATGTAATGACACTGTGATCTTCTTTTCAGTGGCAGCAATAACAGAGTACTGCATAAAGCTAACCAAACCTGTCAGATACCTGCCACCAAATATTTATGCTATTAACAATTATAAAAATTGAATTAAAAAAAATCCTTACTACTCACTAGCAATTCCCTGACTGAAATAATAATGCCCACAGTCTTAACCACTGTGTGGAATGTGAATTACTCTGCAGTAAAGATTATCAGTAGAAACCCTACATCCTGAGTGCAGTTGACATCAGTATCACTGAAGTATCACTGAAACACTCAACATATAAAAGCACTCCAACTGGTGCTTGTGCTGTAGCATTTCCCTGGGAATCTTGATTCCCAATTTTCTAAAATGCTTAGTAGGCATTTAAGACCATTGTCCAGTTGTTGGGGTATTTTGAGAAGCAAGAAGCATCATACCAAGGACTCAGACAAGAAGTCCAAGTCTGCTGCCATTGCTGCTTGCTTCAGCAAGGATGAAAGTTTCCTGTCTCCTGCGCATGGAATTCTCATCCCATTATGATATGCTGCTTCTCCTCTGAGGAGGGGCTTTCCTTTGTGAAAGATCCTCACTGTCACTTTCACAGTTTCTCTGAAATAGAAAGGCCACAAAGTCTCATGTAAATCAGATACCATGCTCTTAAACATGCTGTTCCAATATTATCACTATCATCTACTGAGAAGAGCAGAGCTAATAGAGCCCATAAAGTTTCACTTCAGAAGGTCACAGGCAGTGCCAGGGTCCCCCACCCTCCATCACAGAGCTGGGCACAAAGCAGTGAGCTCCCCTGCAATTGCTCAGCTCTCAGTCACACCCCATGGTCACTGCCTGTGATCCAGACATCTTCTGCAGGCTCCTAGCTGCTCCTTTACACAATATTGTGCTTAGCCCCTAGAAGGTCCATCTTGTCCCTGGCTCTCCCTGCACAAGACTCCTGTCACAGTAACAGAACATACAGCAGCATTAAAGACACACATGATGCCGTGGTCCCCTCTGGTTTCCCACTCCAAGCCACTGCTGTCTTGTTGGGCTGTGCATCCATGAAGGACAGCAAAAATGACTGCACAGTAAGACTGGCTCTTCTCTTCTTCCTGTGTGAGGAATGCACCTACCAAACTCTCCTCTTGTGTCAGGACCTTATTCACCAGCGAGCGCGATAAGCGGTTGCACAGTGAAACGACGCGGTACGAGAGCTGTGCAGAGAGGGAGGAAAACCAATGTGATCACACACAGCCAGTGCAGACATATCCAAACACATCTCATTCATTTACTGCCTATTACAATTTTACTTTCAGCTCTATCTTGCCCTCTGATCCCATCAGGCTTGGGAAGCCACATGTGAGAAGGATTAAAGGCTTGTTGTCGTACCTTCCATCGCCTTCTAGCATATTGCCTTTTGAAGTTTTCCAGGTTAACAACAGATGATTTCCGAACCAAAGCCTGCTGCTTGTCCATGGGCTGGAAGATAAAAGAACAATTTTATTCTTCAGCTCCCTTTGGTGCATAAAATATGCAAGATACCACATGTGAACTGGAGCTAGCTGAAAGAAAGCTGGGGACGCTACAGATTCATACAGGTTTTTTCATACAAAAAGAATTAAATCTAACCCACTCTGGGCCTAGACAGGACCCTTTTGATCACAAATAAAATCCTAAAACTAGTGGGTACTAAGGCTATGCTTTCACTTTGTAAAGTTGCTAATGTGCTTCTCACGCACACCTGCCCTATCTATCTCCCTTTTCTCTAGATGACATCACCGTAATAAAATGGAACAAAGGTAGCTGTCATGTAGTATTAGTGATAAGGATACATGCTATCTGAGAAAACTTCAGCTTTGCCCTTTAACCATAGCCAGAGTATGACAGCACAAGGCATTGGCACCCAGGCAATAATTGCAATATCTGACAATTGAAAAATAGGAATAAAGAGGAATATAGATCAGAATTCAGACATGTGCCTAGTGCTTTGGATGTCAACCTGGTGTTAAGGAACAGATGTTCCACAAATCCTGACACGGTCCTTCTGAAAATGAAGCACATTTCAATTCCAAAAGTACCTCAAAATTTGCATAAACCTTAAAACCAAATCTGAGAAATTGCAAGAAAGAAATGGTTCAAAACCAGATCAGACAAGAGTGAAAAGAGAAAGGCCAGGAATCAGCCCTTCAAAGAGTATGGAGTGACAACCATTCCAGCTGTTCTGATCTGCATATGTAGGAGGTGGATAACACAGAAATATTTGTACTGAACTGGACTGGAATGCAGCCAAGCCATGCACCTGAAACAGCAAGAGTACCAAAGGAGAATCAAAAACACATCAGTGAGGATTTAAACATCTTTTTCAGCAAAATAATTTAAAACGTTTGAGACAACAAATTCACTCTTCTCACCAAATGCTGTAAGTTTAGCATTTTTGCAGGTATCTCAGCAGCACTTCAAGGAGCCAAGCTATCAGCTGGGCCCCCTTCTCATTTAGATGTACACACCATTTGCATTCAGCAGAACTGGGACAATTAAGCTTTAAATATAATTTCCTCACGCTGCAAACAGCCAGCTTGGTGCAACAAGCGAGCAGAAATCAATTTGAAGTGGAAAAAACGTCACTGGCTAAATGTCAGCTGTACAATCATTATGAAAAATTTCCCAGTGCCCTTTCAGAACCACCACTGACTCTAAACAACTCACTTTACTGCAGAGTGCTAATAACCACCTCTTCATTTTAGGTACCCTGCAACTCAGTGACCTTGTCATTCTCTCAAATCATCAGGATCTCTTCTCAAAAGCAGAGTGTGAGTAGCCTCAAGGACAGAGTCACAACAACACTGCCCTCACCCAAACATGCTCAGGAACAAGGTGGCCTCATTTAATGCTCCTTCTCATCATGCCATGCATTTGTTCATAAAGAAAATCAATATGAACAAAGAATATGAGATCATGGCTGAGGAGAGGCAGACTCTCTTTCTTGAGAGTGTTTTCTGCAAATTCTAACTCCCATTAGGCTTTAAGTTACATTTTAGGAATTAAGGCTCTCTCCCCCTGACAATAAAATCCTGTGTTCCATTCTCCTGGACAGTTTTTAGAATGGGTCTTCCAGCTCCAAGAAACCTGCAGAAGCATTCTGAAACAATAAAAATGGACACATGCAAAATGCTCAATCCTATTTGTCACAGTAGAGCCCAATTCTCCCCAGCCATCAGCGCCAGCTTGCCAGGGTCACATCTTGGCTATCTACACTATAGAAGCTTTTGAAAATTTCACATATTGTGCCAAGAACAATGACACAGAGAGCACATCCAGTCTCCATCTTCCTTCCAGATGGGAGCAACAATATCCCAAGTGAATAACTATTTTCACAATTCTGAATTTGCATCACCCTCTGCACATCTTTGTGAGGACACAGCAGTAAATGGGTCCACTGTACTCTGCAAAAAATTAGATGAGAGTATGCTTTTATCTTTTTATCTCAAATGAGGAAACATTATTCTTAATCATGTTAGGAAGAGCAACAATTCAGTTTATTTATGTCATTAACTTCTCTGCAAAAGGAGGAGGGAGGAGGGGCAGTGAAAGATATACTCTAATACATATATGGAAAGATTCACTCTAGCTAGAGCTATTATCTCACTGATTCTTGTAGTGGCACAACAGTCACCATGCAGCAAATGCCCACAGAAACTTGGTGTCTTTTTCAGTCACTAACCATCAGGGAACAACTGCATCCTGCATAAATAAATATTTATTGTGTTCAAAAATGAGATTGGTACATCTGTGCATATTAATACAGTATAATCAAACGACTTCTTTGAAATACACGACAGCAGGACATGATTCAAGGCTGGGTTTTCTTTTACTTTGTAAAACCTAAGGAAAAAAAATCTTTATAGGAAGAACACTAGTCTCAAATGCCGCATCACAGATTAAGTTAGTTGTAGCTTTGTAATCTTCTTCACTGTAGAAAACAAACCAGATGACTATATTATCACTTAGTCTAAAACTGACATTTGCACTGCAAAATTGCACAGTCATTTGATCATTATAAGTTCCCAATGGTGTCTTTTGAATAGAATTTCTTTGGTACAGGACAGGAAACTCAGCTGTTGATTAATCCTTCAGTTTAAAATTCACCTTACCTTTGATGGTAAAAGAGTTCACCCTGCACAATTGGCCTAAACAGTCATCCTAAAATTCTTCATTGACAGCCATTTCACAGCAAATTTCTACAGTATTAGCTAAATTACTACACCATTTGCTTTAATTTACAGATTTAACCTTTACAAATATTTGTATCATAAGGTGTATAGAACTGTCTGCAGCAGGGCTATCCAACTGTTTCCTTCAGCCAACCAAAGATGCTATAAGGGGATTTTTTATCAGTTTCCAGGCACCCAGTTTCTAGTAAGTACAGACTGACTTATTCTTTATTCCACATTAATTACCTAGTAACCTTTAGGAACTGTAATACATGATGCAGAGTAAAATATAGGCAATACCAAAGGGTTTGGCATTAGATGTGTCCATACCATGGTGATAATCTTGTTTCTGCAAGTTCAGACACTGAACACAAGAAAAAAACAAAACTTCAACATTACTAACCACTGGGAGATTATGGCTTTGGTCAGTAGCTTGTGCAATACATCAGAATTTCTACTTCACGTCTAGGTCATGTTTTTGTGTAGAATCTATGCACCAGAACCTTTTTAAACTGATGTACATTGAAACAAGCAACAAACCCTGCACTTAGCCTGATCTCAGTGTTACTGATGGGATTCTGTCACATCAAGATTCAACCCTGCAAGGAATTCTTCACAGCAAGATCTATTTAACAGCTCCATTAGTGATTCATTAATATCTTTGTTGAAAACAGAGTGAAAGTTTCCATTCACACAGGCTTCATTTTCCAGCTGAAAAGTGCTCATTAAATCCTGTATCCACTTGATTTCCTCAGAAAGTTCCTGCCTTAGGGATTCATAGTGGCTCTGCAGCTCAGCATATTTCCCACACACGCCTGTGAGACTGGCACTGACAGCCTCAGTGTCCTCGTGCAAGTGCCTTTTCAGGGACTCCACCTTACGGTACTCGTACTTCAGCTGGGACAGCGCGTGCCTCACGCTTTCGCTCTCTTCTTTGTACCAAGCTTCCTTCTCATTATAAATGGAAAGCAGAGCATCCATGTCCTCCTGCAAGGAGTCGTGGGATGCAGCCAGGGTGCTGAAACCCTGCTCCACACGGGAAATGTCCTCCACAACGCGGGCAAAGCGCTCAAAGTTGATGTAGGTGTTGTTGGGGGGCATGCTCGAGTGGCACTTTAGGGTGTACTCCCTCAGGCGTTTCGTCTTCAGCTGCGTGTTCTCCACCTTGTTTTCCTGGACTTTGTTTTCATCTTTCAGCTGGTGAGTCGTCAGACAGAGGAACCAATATTACTGAACATTTACAAGGCTGCAGCGATTCAAAAACTCTACACAAAGGATGCAGGGACAAAGGGCTTCCACAATGCTGGGAGATTCTTTGCTCACAAAGATTTTCCTTCGTGCATTTGATTAAAAGAAACAAACACCAAACACATAAGCCCAGACCTGAATGTGACAAATGCTTTCATTCCAATGTGATGAGTGCAAACAACATGGCTGCAATTTATTTTCATGCTAATTTTTAGCAATTAACAGCGTCAAAGCTATCAATATTTGTAGGAGGAAAACCAACAACTCTAATACCACTCCAACTAATGTTTTGTGCAATGCAAAGCAAAAACTGAATTTCAAAAATCCTCATTAGTCATGCTGAGACTAGCTAAATGTATTTTCAGTAAGAGACTTGTGCACATAAGCAAGCAATGTTTATGATGAAAAAATACATACCAACACACAAATGTAAGCAAACCAGAACACGGGGTAAACAGCAGTTCTCTCTCCAGAGAAATTGTATTTTCTATATTGATTGCAGTCAACTCTCAATTCCAGAAAACATGAAAACCAACACACAGTATATGCCCATGCAAACAGAGAGGAATGGAAAAATGCAAACCCCAGTCCAATATGGGTACTGTAATGTGCAATAAACATCAGAGCTTTGTTACTCTCTTTTTGAATGTTATCATAATAAAGGAAGTAATTTGCAGAAATCCAAGGATTTGGTCAGACCCAAGCAATTTTCTCCCTGTACATCTCTTTGAGTCACCCAGCATCAATCACAAAATACTTAGGGGGCAGTTTTCCATTTAACACACCAGTAAGAGTGAGAATATGATCTCTGGTTTGCTCATGGAAAAAAGCAAGGTCTTTTTCTTTATTCAGTCTTACCGTTATCCATGGATGAGACAGAGCTTCCTGAATCGTGAGCCGCTTCCTAAAAAACAACAACACAAAAAAACCCCAAAGATTTGATACAGAAGCCCATTGACCCACACTCTTCCTGGGCTTCCTATGAAGCTTTTATCAGCATAATTCCAGGAAAAACCCTCAAATTTCAAGTTTATGTTTCTCCCTGAGGCACACTGCCTGTGTGCAGTTTAGTTACTGTTCTAAACTTCAGCCGGTAACTGTCCTTACTCAGCACAACTTTAATTCTTATTTCATCAAAATCTACTTGTACTTTTGTGCACCCTTCCATAAAAAGTTACACAACATTCCTTTGTTTTGTTCATCCAACCTGCTTAGAAAATACATTCTTGCTATACACCTTTGATACATCTGTGTCTGAATCAACAGTAATTATACCAAAGCTGTCCTCTGGAACACAGTATTACAGCACTGCAGGAGCTGTTGCTTCCTGAAAGCAACATTTCTGAGAGGAATACAGCAAACCTAATCAAAGGGGATCAAACCTAACTTCCTTCTGCATTGTAGCAGTTTGGTGAGAAGCATGTTAAGAGCTCTGAGAATCAAAGACAGAAACACAGCATTGCACAGGCACCATGTCTGCACATGGGACAAATACAGCATTGACTTCTTGGAGCTGCTAGACCTGTGCAAAACTCTCATCAAACACCTACTCTACCCCACACTGAGGCCTGATGATTTGCAGAAATCTTCATTGAACAGCTCCTTCCCTCTCATAGCTATTTTCTCCCCTAATGAAGCCATTAGAAGGAATCACAATGGTCTGACTTTCCTCCAGGACAAAGACAGTTACAGGGAAGGAGATGCTACCACGGTGTGCACTTTAATAAAAGCAAGTAAAACAAAACAAAACAAAACAAAACCAACAACAAAACAAAACAAACAAAAACCAAACAAAAAACCCAACCAAATAAACAAAAAAAAAATAAAAAAAAACCCCCAAAAACAGTGGTTCCTGTAACCTGGGAAGAAAGATCTCCATAGCTGTCACACAAACCCTTAGGTGACTGCCACAGATACAGAGACTTAGAACAACTCCATATCAGCACATGTACTGATTTTTCTGGCATTGCACCACTGGGGGCACATTCTGGGATGGTATCCCCTGTTTGGTAGAGTAGTTCATAAGAAACTGAAACAGTGGAGTGGTGGTTACCCTGAACTCAAGATCGTGTGCATCATTTTCAGCCCTTCATCTACACCCCATTGTGCCAGCTTGACTGAGGTGACAATTCAGTCCTGAACATGGCATTTAGCTGAGGAGATCTGGTTCCTCTCCTCAGGGTTTCTGGATGCAATGATTAACTAGGTTCACAGCAGCATCCACCTGTCTTGCTCTTGACTGGCAATACACACTGCAAGAAAAGCTTTTTCACTTGTCAAGCCACATTTCACCAGGTTTATTTTAGAGATAAATAAGTCTTTCTGAATATTTGCTTACCGTGTATCTTTCACCAGTAGTTTCTGAATAAAGTCTTTTGCCAGGTCACTAGTATTGCTGAAAAATTCTTCATCAAAATCATAATTCACAGCTGTGATGTTGGCAAGTGTTTCTTGTTTAGTTTCTCCAAGGAAAGGTGATGCACCACTAAGCCTGGATAAGCCAGAAAGAGGAGAATCAGTTGGTAAAATAAACAGCAGAAGTCCCCTAATGAAATTACAGTGACCATGGAATACACTCTTAGGACATTTGTGGCTCTTGCGTTGAAGCAGCTCTGCCATGTAGGAAAAACTTTTGCAAGTCAGCATCTCTTTGTGTTGGGGGAGAAGGAGCCTGGAGATGCTGACTTGCAAAAGTCTGGTTTATGGGAAATGGTATTTATACCAAGGAGATTGATCTCACCCCTTTCCTTTATCATCTTCTGGACTATTATTGTGCTTATCTATTATGTCCAGCTTTGATAACAGTTTCAGGATGCAGCAGGCTCAAAACAGGACTGCAGCAAACTCCAGGGAACTAAACTGAGGTTTTGAATACTAAACCATTTGCTTACATGATCCACTCTCAACAAACCTTGTCTGTATTGCCACCACCAGGTTGGCTGGGAATACTGGGGGATAATGGGAGAAATGCTTTCAGTTAGAGGGGACCACCCAAGCCTTTCAGCCCAATTCCCAGCTACCATATGTGATCTTATCCACAGAATAAATACTCAAGTGCATAAACTGCTTCCTCCCCCCTCTACAATCACACAACACCACCAAAGCATCTGAAACAGGCAGGAGAGCATGAGTGAGGTCCTCCAGTTGTCTTTGATGCAGTAAATTTCATCTCATAAACCACAGTCAGTCTCAATTCTTCAGGAGTTTTACATACTTTCTCTGAAGCCTTGGTTCCTTTTCTGCTGGCTACAAGTAGGCACCTCTTCACAGACCATGAGCTTTGCTCCAAAACTGCAACTTGGAAACCTGCCCTAGGGCCTTGGCTTCTCTTCCCCTTCCCCAAATTATGCCATGAAGCAGCTGTAATTCCACCTTCTGACCCTTTATTGGAAGCCAAAATCAACAGTCTGCTATTCTCTGATTTTTTCTTTTTTTCTCTTTGGGGCTCAGTTTTGAAATCTGTGAAAGGGGAGGATTCTCAAATCCTAATATCCAATGCAACTGGCTTTTGTCATATCCTGACTCAGTGCCTGTAAATATGTTCCAGCAGACCTCAGTAATAAAGGCTTTGCCTTATAACCCACTGAATCACTGCAGAATTACTGAATTGAGGACTTGGATGCATTTTGAACTCTACACCTGATGATGGCATCCATTTGATTGCTGCCACGTTTGCTAAAGTAGGTAGCATCATAGACACACCCCAATTATTCAGAACACTTCTGAGCAAAAGGCTTTAAAATTAGGAGGCAATATGATTTGAAGGCATGCAAATTTCTCATCCACAGCCTATCATGCAAGCTGGTCCTTCCCACTGTAAAAAGTGTGCTCTTTTTTTCTGATCATTTGTGTGGAGACATTTTTCTACCTTAATGACCACAACAATCCTTAGTAGCCAAGCAGGTAAAACAGCTCTCCTGTGCTGGATGCAGTACAGGAACCACTCCCTTACTCTGTTCCCTCAGTATAACAGGAAGATCTGAGGAGCAGCTGGCTCTGTGCATCACTAATCACAGGCTAAGTATTCCCATCTGCTGCTTGACCTCAACTCCTAAGTTTTCCTCTCATCAAATAGGAACACCCATTTTACAAATTCACAAAGTTTAATGTCCTGGCAAGTACAGGTGTGTCAGTGCAGATCAGAGTGCTGACAAAAAGCAAGGGTCTGGACAGTATTTTAAATCCCTTTACTTGAGCTTGGGCTCAACCAATACCCCAAACTTTTCTTTGCACTGCAGAAAAGAAGGGAATTTTTTGCACTGAATCTGATTCCTCAGACCCTGTCTCTCTTCTACAGTTTTTGGGGTCTAACCCTGATGCATAGGCCAAGATTTATTTTCCACACTGAAGAGACAATCCTTCCCCTTCAAGCCTCTCTACTTGTCCTGATGCCTGAAATGTGTAGTGCAAATCCATCTAATACAGGAGTCCACCTCCTTGAAGACTTATTCCTCTGAGTATCACAAGGACCAGCCAAAGCCATGGGTGCAAATTCCCAGAAAGCAGTGTCAGCTCCCTGCTCCCCAGGAGTCACAGGATTTCCATGGAAGTAGTTGGGATCAAAGATCACTGTCCACTGCTGCAATTCTCATGTCAAAGGAGAGGAAAAGCAAGGAGTGCTGTTCTTCTGTTATTTGCATTCATTGTCACACAAGTAGTTTCCCAAGTTGTCAAGCTCCATCTTAAAACTCTCAACTACTTGTCCTCAGATGCCCACAGAAACTCATTTCTTTGAGAGCTTGAGCATGTCATAATTCCCTCCTTTTACTTATTCACAAGTGACACACTTTTCTTCTAAAGAGAATCTGTATCTAAAAAGTATTCTGTGAACTATTTTTCCTTTATGCCTACTGACTATGATGATCTCTCCAACCAACCTTTGCTTTACTAGCTTTAACAAACCCTGTTTTTCTCCTATAAGTTGAATTATCAGTTTCCAGGGTCAACTTCTCTGCTCCTCTTTCAGCTTAAATTCACCTTTTTGAAATGAGTGACCTTACTTATGCATAATAATCTAGACTGCTACCTTTACAAGCAAATAAAAACTTCACTGTTTCCTCCTGAACTAATCCAACTTGTAAATGGGACTGTTACACTTTCTGTTTCTATGCTCTCACGCTGGTAACTCACAGTCATTCCAGGAGCTATTCATCCTCTTGGCTTTTCCATCCTCTACAGTTCCATCCTCCATTTGGAACTGATGAAATCCCATAAAATGCAAAAAAGCCTAGTGATGCCGGGGACATTTGTTTTTCTTCTGCTCAGAATGCCCCATATTCTTTACTCCTTATTTTAAATGGAAAAGGCTGTGGGATAACCCCTGTCTTTTAGACAAACCCCTGCCCACCACACATGTGCAGGTCCCTAAATGGCTGAAGGGAAGAACTGTTCTGTACCAGTGCCACAGAGCTTTAGGAACATTTCTGCAGGAGGGAATTGTTGTACTCACAGTATGTAGGTGATGACTCCTATGCTCCTAAAAAACAAAGGACATTAATTGCAGGGGTTCTACATGACCAGTATTCTTCCTAATGTGCAGAATACACAACAGTCAATAGTAGCTGCAATGGAGGCAGGAGAGCCATTGTGACTTTAGATGACTGCTAACATCTCTTACAGAACAGGGTTTTGAGGAAAAAAATAAATTTTTCATATGACATCAAGTAATGTGGATATTGGAAGTCTGTGTATTTCTACTCAGTGGGTACTTACTACAGCGCACACCTGAAACACAGAGGAGCAGAAACAGGATGTTTGATTTGGGGTGACCTCTTTTGCCTGCCTTCCCATTACATTAGTACACAGGTCTCCTCTGCATGAGGGGCTCTTACAAATAAAGCTGTCACAAGCTCTGCAGGAACATGTTTCCTTCTCAGAGTGCTCCTCTGCATGGACAGTGGCAAACAATTAACTCTGAAACTGCCACCACTCCAGCTTTTCAATGTAATTTTGCAGAAATTAAATGTTTATCTTTTAATTTAAAATAATGTATAAAAATAGAATGACAGAACAAAGACTCATTAACTGTATTTAAGTTATTGTTTGTTTGGGTTTTTTTTTTTTAAATTTGTTGTGATGCAATGGATTCTATTAAGAGCAAAATAGGAAAAAGTAATTGTACAGTAACCAGGAAAAGAAAGCACAAACACATTATAAAACTTACCACATGTCTGCAGCTAGCCCAAGGGGTTCATAGTTTACGATTTCTGGAGCTGTAAGAAACATTTAATCAAACAGCAGCAACTTAGGGAACAAATTTTTACCAGGCTGGAGTAGCAGGCCAAGAATTACCAAGAGGGAGAAGGGGAAGAGGGAAAAGTTGGTTAGGGAATACATTGTTTATAATTTTACAGCCCAAATACAACTGTTCAGAAGAGATTACGTAGCTTAATTTGGAGCATAATGCAACTCAAGAATAAGGGTAAAACAGATATTATATAGTAATTATACTGCAAATTACAACAAATAACAAATTATTTCACTTCCCAAGAATGCTGCTGCCCCTAAGCATGAGCTTCTGTTTTGTTTTGTTTTTTAACTGGTGCCATTATAGCAACTTTGTAAATGCCAGTCAGAAAGAGCCCTTGAGCAAGAGATTGAAATAATTTGCCAGACTACACTGCTATCCATGTCAAACTCTATTATCTTTATAAGAAACATTTCCTCATTGGAAAACATCCCCATATAAGACTGCATGCAAGAGAAAAGAGCAAGGGTGAAATAAGTTGAAAAAAATAATCTGTAACAGCTGTGTTTAACTGGAATATTAATTACAATTCTCTACCCAGCCCCCAAACAAACCCCAAAATAGAAACTAGTAGAAAGGAGCAGGAATAACTCAAAATCCAGGCAAGTCACATCAGAATTATGACCAGGGAGGAACAAAAAGAGAACCACATGGAAAAATGTAAGGGCACATGAGGGTACTCAGCAGGTGTACAGTGTGAGGTGGTTTTATTTACAAAGCAATGACAGACACCTATGTAACTGTGTACTCATGTACCACAATGCAGAGATCTACTTATCCCAGGCAACAAGTAAAAAGATTATAATTTGTATATGCAGAGCTTCACAATCCCACTCCTGAATTTACATCTCTAAATATTTATTGGCAGCAGCCTAATCTCCTTTGCTTATTCCAGAAAAATAATATAAACCTCTAGATTTAAGTGGCCTTGACAGAAATAAGATCAAAACTACTTCTATCCCTCAATTTTTAACTTTGACAAGATGTCTCAACTTCCTCTGAAATTTGCAAAGTAAGACAAAGGAACATGTCACTCACCTACAAATTCTGGAGTTCCAAATATATTTTTAAATTCAACTCCATCTTCTATTTTGTGAGCCAGGCCAAAGTCGATGAGTTTGATGTGTGGAATAGGGATATTCTTGTCTAGAAGCATAATGTTTTCAGGCTAAAAATGACAAAAGATAGACCTATGTTATTAAAATATTAATATCTTGGAAAGTAACAGAGCTTTCAAGTGCTTTTTTTCCTTTGCATATACATCATCATAGAACAAGAAAAACACCCCTGTGCTTAACCATTTACAGTTCTTTTGATTGAGGTAGCAGGCAGCTGAAGCAGAGCAGGTGTTTGCAGACAAAATGCTACTGCCCAGCCCTGAGTGACAGCTGCACAGCACAATATTTTGCTGACAGCAATTTTACTGATCTGTTCTTGGAATTTACACTTCACAAGATTTGCCCAGTTGACCCTATACTGTATTGTAAGCCAATGGAAGACGTTTTGGTAAATACTGAACCTATTCAGGGAAGGAAAAAACAATTTCCCTATGAGATTAAATTCACAGCTGCAACAAAGCCAAGAAAAGATTCAGGATTTACCAGCTGAACAGTCCAGAAAATGCAAACAGTTGGGGTCAGAGGTTCTAGATCATACCAAGCTATTAAAAGAACATGTGGCATTCTCACAGCATTGTAAGAAAAAGCTGAAGCTTGAACTGTGAAATTAAAACTAACATGTTTAACCACAGACTCTACTTTTTTACCAGATCCAACATATTTCATAAAGTCCTTTCTTCAACTAAATTTCTCATCCTTAGCTACTCCCTACCATGGCCCGAATTCACAGGTTTCAGAGCAACTGTGGGTTCAATTTATCTCCCATGATGAGCTTCAATACATTCATCTCTCATAACTTAATCATAACTTCAAGGGCAGGAGCAAGAGAGTCTGATTCCCTGCAGGCAGCTGCCTGGCTTTTCCAGAGCAGAATCTAACGTGGAAGTTGCTCCTGCTAACACATTCTCTCAGTCAGAACTGCACTGGGAAACAGAGCATATGAATAATTTATTCTCACTGTCATTGGACCAACCATGTGTTAGCCTCAGGGTAACAAGCCTGGCTTCTTTCATGGATCCAGGGCATATATGTTCACCACAGACACATAAGGTAAGCTTCTTTAGAACAGACAGATACAGAAAAAGTCACTGTCACTACCTCATGGAGGACTGTTTTATCCCTTAGGTGGTATAAACCAATACAGCTCCACTGCAGGCAACAGAGCCCTGTCAAATGATGAGATAATGATGAACTATCCTCTATCTGATCAGATCACTGCTTAAAAATGCTTCTCTAATTTAACACTTGCTAAACTCCACACCCAATCCTTTAAAACCCAGGAGAGTTATTAAGTGAATATATAATAGGTCATTTGATAGTCACTGTCAGTTTAATGATTCTTTACTTATGCTTTCTGATTTCTACCTTGCAATTCTTGCAACATCTTCAGTAACCACCTGACCTTACCCATATTAAATATCAAAATTAGCAGCTACAGATCAGCCAAAGACTAAATCAACATCTTTACCTTTAGATCAAAGTGAGCAATTTTCTTAGAGTGAAGGTAATTCACACCATCCAAAATCTGCTTGATGAACCTGGTTGCTTCCTCTTCACTCAAAGACTCCTTCTGTGCCAGGAAGTCAAAAAGTTCTCCTCCAGAAACCCTGCAAAACACACCAAAAAACATTCTGCTATCTCCTGCACTGTAATCCATAACATAAATGCAAGCAAAGAAAAGTAAAGCAGCAAAGAATCTCAATACAGTCAGAAAAAGTCTGCTCATGCAGACAGCCACGAGTTTTGTTTTCTGGTCCAGGTGTGCCCAAACCTCATTTTGGCTTCAGCTCTCTTCCCTGTAAATTAAGGACAGGCTTTTCCACTGATGCTGCAAGGATCACAAAGGTCTGGAGTTACATTGTTTGCTGAATCCCCATACATGCATCTATTTCAAAAGGTCAACTTAACCACTACAACTGCTATTTTTCAAGATTTTTGTGTTGTATGAACAAGTTGTAAGAGTCAACAACTGCTGAAGAATTACTTTTCTTAGCAGTTCCCATGAGAACCTGAGGTAGTAAAACGTGCCAACAGAATCTCTTCTTTACAGAACAGCCATTACCCTGTTCTACTACAGACTCTTGCCTGACATAACTAACAGGAAAGGATTTCTTTGGTGCTGAATTTTTAAAGAAGAAAGCAGATTGCAACAGGCTGGAAGGTACCAAAACCAGTTTTCCCAAATCAACAAAGTGCTCTTAGTTACTATGAGTTTTCACATCAAAACTGAAATCCATTCCACCCTTATTAGTATACAAGTTTTATTTTCATTTCTGTGCCTTCTACGCAGAGTTCCAGTGCCATATTTCTGTTTATCTGAAGCAAGATCACCTAAATATTGAATTAGGCATTGTTTGCAGCTATTATTCATATTTATGTTTACATTTACTGTTGCCAGTTCACACTATCATTAATATTATTGTTCTATTCTCATTCAGATTCAGTTTTGGGGGCACCCACAAAACAGTTGTTACTCTTGGGTGCTGGGGCACCACCACCTGTGCTCAGAGTGCGAGCAAAGGGCCTGAGAGACTCTACAGTCATTTTGGAAAACAAGCTCTTGGCCTGTCAAAAAGCACTAGCAGGTCAAAATGCTTTGAGTTCCTCAGGTGCTGGAGTCACAGACAAGTCAGATCACAACTGGTGCTCCAGGGGTCTTTGGGGAATCTCTGCTCTGACCCCAGGCTCCCACACAACACTGGTGGTGACAACAGGGTGATTCCCTACTCTGCCTCTTCCAGAGGAAGCCACTGTCAACAGCTGCACAACCTGCAAGGACAAGTCCACTGCAAGCAAGAACAGCATGTCCAAAGCTACAAAGATTTGGTTTGTGTCTTAGCTTCCTCTGCTGCTCCTGCTGGTGACAAGGTGCCTTGTTGCTCCAGAGACTTACACTGGGCATAGTGACTTGCCCATTGATTACCAGATTTTTTTTCTCACCTCTCACATGATCAGAAACTTCTCTAATCCATGTGAGGCAGGACTCTTCACCTTGGCAGAAGTTACCTCTCTTCACCTGGGCAGAAGTCACTTGATGCTTTAATTGTTACAACTAAATACCTGGCAAACAAAATAAGCTCATATGACCCGGAAATATGTTGCAACTACTGTCTTTAGCTGCCACCTTCTCCTTTCTATTAATATCAGTTATTCAACCTGTGATTTTCTTTTCTAGGTGACACCTGCCAAGGGTCTCATCACTACCATAAGCCTTTCTGGACAGGTTTTGTTGTACAGAATACTGGGGAGGAGAGAACCTGTAGAGGAGACACTGGTTTATCAATCCAACCTGCCTCCAGGCTGCTTCTGCTTGGGCAAAGCAGGCTCCAGGCAGGGCCCAGGACACAGAGAACAGCAGCCCCACAGAAAGCTGGGGCAAGTCCCTGGACAATGTGCAGAAGGAAAGAGAAGCCATGTGCCTGCCAAACTGCACTTCACAGCAATGGAGCTGGCACTCCTCTTGAACAGGAGAACCAGCACCTGCAGAACTGACTTCTCTGAAAAGAGGAGATGGTTTTGACAGCACTGTGAGTATGGGAGAGGGTCAACATTTCAGACAATTCCTCTTTTAAACACAAGGCCAGCTTCTTCAATTACCCAGCAATACTGGGGCCATTCTTTTGAAGCTGAAGTTCACTGTAGATTACTATATGTGCTTGGCCAGGTGCTGCTACACTTACTTTGATAAACAGCAGGGAATATGAGACTCTGAGAGCAGGGTGTCAGAGGGGAAGAGATTATCTGTTTACAGAGAGAATTTAATTATCTTTATTAGCAATTATCATCATCCTCAATTTGTATACAGCAGCTGAATGCAGAGGCCTTTATCAGGTCAAATTTCTGTTGCATGCAGATTTTTACAAACTGCAATATGTTACAGTCTGACAAAAGAACACACAAAATATGTCAGGCCACATGAGGACAGGGAAAAGCAGAAGGTAATGAAACAGGAGGTTGCTTTAGCTCAAGGTAGTCACCAGTGAGAAAGAGCAAGCTCCTTCCCTGTTTTCCAGAGCTTGGCTGCAGAGACCAACATTTGGCCATAGATATATATTTCAAAGTTAACAGGTGCTCATCATCACTCATATGCCATCTTCCAGCAGTCACACTAATCTCCAGGAATGCTCCCTGACCTAAATGCTGGCTCCCCTAGAGAGCTCCCTTAGAGACAAAAGCCTCGTTGCCTGGATTTCATACACAAGGTCCTGGTGTCCTAGGGAATATATGGTCTACCTAACTTCAAGCATGGTGACTGTATTTCCTGCCCCATACACACTGAAAAATTGCATAATTTTACATGTAGGGGTGAGGAGGTCCACTTGTCAGCAGGACCTAAATGGCAGTGGTTTTCTCCCCTCCTATGGTGGCACAAGAGTAAACAGCTTTTCATCATTCCCATCCTGCTGCTATTCATCCTCAACAGTCAATGCCAAAGGGATGAAAAACCTTCTCCCCTTGCCTTCCACCCCTTTTCTCCTCTAGCTGATCTAAATGAGGAAAATATGGAAGTAGCGAGAATGGCTGTGAATTTTGGAAAAGGCTTGATGGCCTCACATGTATTGAAAGAGATGAAAGCAGGAAGAAAAATAAAATGAGCATTCAGCGGTCACTTGCACTTCCTCCAAGGTTTATGTCAGGGCAGCCCTAGGCAGACATGAGGTAATCTAATTCCTCCCTTAGTAAACTGTTTGCATGTTGACAAGATTCCCTGGCCCAGTATCAAATGACCTCAGCTGATGTTCAGGTGCACCTGTATCCCCAGGGCACAGGGATGAGCTGGGGAAGCTGTTTACCACCAACCTCACTCAGTGCTCCTGCCGACATTTGTGAAGCCTGAAAATGCAACAGCTCCATTTATCAGAGCCCCTGTGCTCCGGCAGCCCCTGCAGTGCTCTCAGGTTTCTATTCACCTCAGCCATGTGTGCAGGGCAGGGCCCTTACTCACAGCTCCAGGATGAGGACCACGTCTGTCTTGTTCTCATAGATGTCGTGCAGCTTGACGATGTTGGCGTGCAGGATCTGCTGCAGGATGCTGACCTCGCGCTCGATCTCCTCACGGCTCACCCCGCGCCGGCTGGCCCGGCTCTGGCGCTTCTTGATGAACTTGGCAGCAAATTCCAGCCCTGTGCTTCTCTCTCGACACTTCTTCACTATAGCAAACTGGCCACTGCCAGGACAAGGAGACAACAGAAATGCTCTTAAGGCTTTTACATGACAGCTTCCCACATAAGCCAGCCCCATACAAAGCCTGATCCTGTAAGCCCCAAGCAGCACTGCTGAGCACTGCTGAGCTTGTTCTTGGTACAAGAGCGAGGACTGTCAGGACTCTGCAGTCAAAGGCAGTACAGCATAACAAGGTAACATCCTACTGTGTCTGAAATTGAGCAAAACCAAACAATGACTGACAAATGGAGTTTAAACCTCTAAAAACAGTTCATGTTTAAATGAGTAAGATCTGCCTCAAACGGTTCAAGTTACCACTACTTCACTTAAGACATTCAAGTCTGCAACACACCACTGGGTCTTCTGAAAGAACACACACACACTCTAAAATATTTGTCTTTAAGAATAGTCCCTAGAGAAGAACTCAAATGAATCATAACTCTTTGGAAATGCAAAACTGGCCTCCAGTAACCAATCTCCAAATTAAAAAAAAATGTTTATTTGTATTTATGCATTCATTTGATAATTTGGTTGTAAATATAACTAGAGTAAGTGCAGGTTTCTCACTGCACCTCAAGGACAAAGAATTTCCCACTGTACCAAATAGTACAGTGGCTGCATTAAGGTTAAAAGGCATGTTCTTGCAATTTGCTAGTAAAACTTTCCTCACTGTGGCTCCTAATGCACTCCAAGTGCAAAATTCCTGCCTTATCTCCTAGGAATTGGCAGATCTCCAGTCCCAGAATACACATTTAGTATCACATACTTCCTTATAGGACATTATATCCAAACTTGGAAGGAAAAGGCTCATCTTTCAGGTAACCATAACCTTTAGCTACTGTGATTTCATCAGATAGGATCTCTTTATAAGAATCACAAACAAATTCATTAAGTGCATCCTCCCATGACTACACTGTATAAGCACTGAGCTGTTGTTTTCAATATTATTATATCATTCACTGGCTTGGTAAATGAGGAATCCAAGTACAGTTGGTATTTAAATTATGCAGCATACACAGCAATTATATTCAGCACCTCATTAGATGCTGTACTTAGTGCTTCATCAACACAGACATCTGAATGGAGTCTGTCTTAAAAATACAAAGGAGTAGAAATTCAAAATTAAGGCTGTCACTTGGTGCTCAATTGCTCTCAAAGGCTCCCCCCCTATGGCAGAGGCAGCCTCTCATTTCAGAGTTCAAACAAATGCCAGGCAGCCTGACATACTTCTTTTAGTCTTTCATTTTCATAATACATCCTAAACCCTTCCCAGGAGGGAGGCAGGAACAGATGGGACAAGAGTCTTATCCCTTTGGGAATAATCATTCACAAATGGAATTGAGACTGTGGCCATTTGTCACATGCTTTAATTCATTCATATTTCTCCTGCTTTTATCATTACCTGCAAACCCTAGAGAAATTCCCACTACAAAATTCCCAAACTTGCCTTAAACATTCTACTAAAAGAGTTTGTTTTGTAGTGCTGAGAGCTGCTTGTGTAAAACATCACGATTTTCATGTTTTTCTTGTTTGCTGGACCATATTTTGCAAGACATGCATCTTGCTTGGTTCAGACTTTCTGAAGAAACATGGTATCAATGTTCCTGTGCTTGTTTCCTTGAATCCTCTCTAGGGACAAATTTTGTCAAAGTTCAGGAGAAAATATTTTTTTATGAGTGCTGATTATGGGAACAAACACAGTCACTTCTGCATTTAGAAATTCCAGTGATACTGTGGATTTTGTACATTTCTGTTGATGCAAAAGCTTACAAAAGTCATAATGACACAGCATAGGAATTTCTGTCTTCTCCTTTGACATAAATAATTGTCCCAGACTATAACTATTACAGGACCAATTCTCCTGTAATCTACCATTGCTCCCCTGCATGTGTGGTCACCAACACACACTGTTGCTGCTCCTGTCCCAGCATTCATGCCACTTCCCATATCCCTTTAAAAAAGGCTTTTGCAGACGACTCTTCAGTGGGAGAGTTTGGGACTGAGGAGAAGAGGTTACAAGCAATAGGGAAGGACACAAATGCTCAATTTCTTATCCTGTGACATTTAAGACAGTTACAATGCAATTACTAATGAAGAGCTCCTGCAGGCCCATTCAGCTATGAAACAAGAGGATTCCTCACAGGCATTTTACAATCACAGTCAGACATTTTGGATTCCTTATCAGCTACAGAGATTGCAAGGCTAGGAGCAAGACAGCAGTGGTTTTGTGCCTTCTCATGCATCTGCCTTCAGGCTATAAGAATCAAACTCTGTCAGCTTCCAAAACTTTTGACCTAGGCTAGGAAAAAAGCAGAAGAAAGGAAAGTATGTCCTCCTGACACATAAGTTGACAGCACTGAGAAATTAAGCCATTTAGATAATTTCACATGTGGCATTTTTACCTGATTTTAAACTTGAAACTGAATTTCACAACTCAGATATCCAAATTTCAGCCAAAAGACCTTGCCAGAATTCATGGGTTTTAGTACAGTGCTGAAACAAAGATGACTTGGATCATGAACAGAAGTATTTCCAACACATGCAGGATAAGCTCAGGGGCTGACACTTCTGGATGGAGCCTACCTGGACCTCAGTAAAGCCTTTGGCACTGTCCCCCACAGCATTCTCCTGGAGAAACTGGATGCGCCTGGCTTTGACACTGGTCTTTGAAATCTTTTCCAAACTTAATTACACTACTATTTCTAATTTCTAAATTTTTTTTTTCCAAGAAGTTACATTTGTTCCCTTCCAGAAATATTTTGGGCAGCTGTGCAAAAGCCTTGTCACACACTAAGCATCCTTAATTGTGGAAACAGCTGAGGAGTATGAACAATAGCAGCTGCATCGTGTCAGTTATAATATAATTAGGTACAACATCGAATCTGTCCATCAGTAACGATGGAATTTATCCCAGCAATGAAGACAACCCATCATCTGCATTGCTACTATCATGTAGGAGGTTTGTCACTGAATAAGAACACAGAGACAATATTACTGGATGATTTTGGAGTCTATTTTCAGAAGCATGCTTTAGAAGAGCACAAGTTCAGCTCATTTGATCATCATGCACTTCAGGAGAGGATGTGGGAAGAGCAAAGCTGGACAATCCAGAATAACAGGACAACTTCTTGCTCTTTGTCAAAGTTTCCTTCTAATAATGGTTCCGGAGAGTAATGCCCTGGGGCAGAATGTCATCTGAGAGCAAGAGCAGTGCAGATGCCAGTGTGAAATGCCCCAGTGCGCAGCAGAGCTGCTGCCCCACAGCTTTAGTATAAAGAGAGTCGTCAAGCAACTGCTGGCACAAGTACAGGTTTATTCCAGTCTTCCTCTGATGCTCCTGAAACACTGCATGGCTCAGGAGCTCTTCTCAAAACACTGCAAATATATAAGAAAAGTACTGAGATGACAGTACAAGTTACCTGACTCCAGTCAGGCTTTCTGAGGCCTGAGTGGGGAGAAGCCAGGAAGCTGATTCTGTCTATCATTTCAGAACAGCAAACCATTTCTTCCCCAAATACCAAATGTGTTCCCTTTCTTCGTGTTCAGTCTATTTCTTTATGTCTTGTTCATATTCAACTTCATTTCATTCATTAAAGAATTCTAAAAAAATATGATGACGATGCCTTAGTTGTTAAAATTTGAAATTCCCATAAAAGACATGATATATGAGAACACATTGACAGATACACTTTAGACTGAAATATGTTTTCAACAAGTTCATTGAAAAGTAAATGAACCTGGGCAAAGGACAGTGCTATGGCATTCTGCCAGTCAAGAGGTGACACAACTCCCTACATGAGCCAGGGCAATTTAGTTAGGAACAGATTTGCAAGGGATTTTAGGCAGCCTCCCACTGACTTTAACAGTAATTAGGTTTCTACACACTTGATGGAAAGTAACACCTTGGTCCTTCTGTACCTAATTTCCCCAAGTCTGTAAAATACAGATAATACTACTGGAAAATGAAATAACATTATATGGGGTAAGGATACAAATTCATTTCATGTCACTAGGTATCACTAGAAGTGCAATTATAATAATTCATATTTTATTCACTAGGTGTTCCTGCACAAGAATACATGACCTGAAAGGAGGCTAAAATAAAAGTGAACAGCACCTAGACCAGTTTTTAACTGCTTAAATTCACAGGCAGTACTGTGACTGCATGAGAGTTTAAAGATACTAAAAATACCTTATGAAATCATCCTGTGTACATGCATGAGTCAATAGAAATAAGCATAACCACAATAATAGCACTTAGCCAACCTGAACACAGGGCTTCTCTGCATTCAAGGCTGGTGTGTTCAGTTCAGCAGAGGATAATTCATTCTCATTTACATCCATTGTTATAATGTCAACAGTTTTGTTCATCATGCCTTTTTGCCACTATTAAATTTGACTGGTTTTAACTGGTCATCTCAAGCTTAGAAAAAGTCTGCACCTTATTACATTTCCATCTTCTTCATTCCTATTTACTTTTCTTGGGAAAATATATGAGTAATTTTATCCATTTATGGTTGGGTTTTTTTGCTAACTTTCAAAGCAAAGCCCTGGAGAATTCCTGCTGAATTCGAGGAAAACATATTTTTCACCCTTTTTTTTTCTAAGTGATCAGAGCAATTGCTCAACCATAGTTTTATTAAACTAAATACTCTCCTCCCTCTTTGCTTACACTTCAGAGATGACTTCTGCTATTTGCAACTGCACTGAGTGCTCTTCCCAGCAGAGAGGACAGGAGTCTGCTTGGAACAACAGTGAGAATCTATTTTTATGCTTTCTGTTCATTTATGAAACACAGATCAACCAAAGGCCATGCTAAGTTCACAAAATATATGCATATATGCATAAAAGCATATATATATATATATATATATATATATATATATGGAGGGGTTTTGCAGGAATTCTGTAATCACAGCTATAAAGATGTAAAAGCCTTCTGTAAATGACAATAATTTGCAGTGCATTTTATTTTTTTATAGACTTTTTGTTTTAGACTAAACC